GAGAAGAGACATAGAGACAAGGCAGAGAAGAGACAGAGTAGGTGCGAAATGGGAAAAGGCAGAGTAGAGAGAAGGCGGAGAATGTTCTTTTCTTCTTACACTCTTGAAGACTAACATGGAACCTGAAAACCCTTGGTTGGTAGAGGAACATAGTCTTCCATGGGACCATTGTCAGGGTCTATGTTAGTTTTCGGGAGTGTAAGCCTTTTTTCCCAGCTTCGCACCCAGCTCTTTCGCATCCAAGGCGGCAAGGCAGGCGGAGGCGCCGTGGACCCGCGGATACGCCAAAATCGAGAAACACTGCCCATCCTTAGAGGTTCAGGATCCTCAGTCGCGGAGGATCAAGCTACATTCGAACTACTTATTCCACGTTGGTTTTCCTATTTTGTCCTCGGAGTCTATGTTTTCACCATCTGTCGCCCAAACAATCCCCTGCCTTGTTGGATGGGAACTTAGAACAGCCGAACAGCCAGTTTGATCCATTGGCATTGCCTTGAGCCAGTCATGTGTGTTCAGTTTTGTTGCATATCTCACACACACATATATGGTGACCTTTTGCAGTTGGTTTTTGAGGAGTTGAAACCACTGATGCTATGTTTGCCATGCCATGCCATCACCATAAAAGCTGCATGAATGTTTTGAGTCACCACTTATGATCCTTGACGTTTGCTATGCGGCATGTCTTTGCGAGTTTTGCGCTTCCCTGTGTCGCACATCAAGTTATTGTTGTGTGCGCATGTTTCAATGCCACAGGTGATCGTGAGGTTGAGACGAGAGAAGAGGAAGGGGTCATGTGTTCATTTCTCAGTGTGAAGATCCAAGGAGTTTCCAGATGTTTTCTCCAGCGTCAAAGCTGCGATCCAACGTCATAATATTCCTCGCAGACCCTTACACAATTTTCCGACGTGATTGAACACAACACTCGTCAGATTGATAGATCAAGAATGGGGTCGAACATATATAATTCGGCATATTTATAGTATTATTGGCCGTGCCTTGGGGTAGTGATTGACATCAAAGGAATCACGAATAGTAGAGCACGGCACAACCCCCTGTCACGATCCATTCCACGGAGTTTTGTTCAGGATGTGTGTTTTTTAAAGGCTCTTTTTTTCACCGTTTGTGGTGTGGTACGCGTAGCTTTTCTGTTGGCTTTTGGTGGCTTGTGTTGGCTCTTTGTGGCTTTGATTGGCTTTCGGTGGCTTTGGCTTCTGGCTTTGGTGGCTTTGGCTTTTGGCTGGATTTCGTTGGCTTTTGGCTTCTGGTGGCTTTTGTTTGCTGGCGTTTGGTGTTGAGTTGGTTTTGTAGCTTGCATACTATAGTGCATACTATATATTCTCAATATGGGAAACTTAGTGGTTCCTCCCCATTCACCCCTAAGGGCAGAACAAATCGCTGCCCTTAGTTCAACAAACCGGACAATCTAGAAACAGCTAGATGATGCCTGTTGCTGATCAACAAGTCCACAATATATGTGTTTCTTATATTTGACCTGACCTCGATCAGTGAGATGTTCATCACTCCCTAGACATCGTCCTGACTGCTCTCTCAACCACATCATCGACTCGGAACATATTTATAAATATATATATAACATTGTGAAATCCAATGAAGCGTTCCCGTTCCCCCACCTAGAATTATTGTTGGTCAATGCATCTAGTATTGAAGACCCAACCTGAAAACCACAAGCCGTGGGTTCGGAGAAGAACATCCATTTTTTAAATGCATTTGCCAATTTTGCCGCTTCTGGAGGAGAGGAGGCCTTGGATCTGTCCGATCTTACTGACATAATCTTGGGCTGTGCAATCTGTGTCATCGGCACCTCTCCCTGCTTTTTGCACAGGACCAGTTGGAGGCCAGGAGAGCGCCGAAGAAAGCTCGCATTGAGGAGGCCAAGCCTGAGGCGTAATGGGGTGAAGGAGTTGGGTTATGACGGGTGAGAATGGTCCAGTGAGAACCTGGTACTTCTTGGGGATGGTGCGATCTGGGCGAGGTTGCATCCATTCCAAACACGATGTCGTTTTCAAGGACCACACTATGTTTGCAGGAATTTCTGAGGTGGTCTACCTCGACAGCCTTTGGTAGTCCGATTTTGTCCCCAGCCAAATGAACCACTGAACCAAGCATACATTGAGGACTGTCCAGGTTGAGCAGTAGATTCAGTAGGGTAGGTGCATGCACCCAGCGACCTTTGAGCTCCCTCAAGACTGCAGTTGCACTGCTTGCCACTGCCAAGCATCGAGATCCTCAAGCTAGCTAGTGTCATCAGCTCCGAGGCCAAAAGCAAGAAAAAGGCATCAGGTGCGGACTTGTTCAAGGAGGCGCACGTCGCTGGGAGTCAACTGTGGAAGAAATTTGACACCGGGGAGTGTGGCAGACTGATCAATTAAAGCACAGAGTATCGGATGACCTTGTTGGTTGCTAACAGTGCATAGATTATTTTGCACCAGTAGTAAGGACAGAGTTTTGCTGCTTGTGCTCACATTGGGCATTGGTGGACGAGAGACTGCGCTTGAGAAGCAATGATTCTGTGATGTGCTTCTTGGGATTGGTTTGGCAATTCACGTGTCCGGGGCAACTTGCAGATCCCAAAATGTGAGAACCCAGGTCGCACAGATCGAACAGGTAGGCCAGCGAGGCAGAATGAGCAGCCATGTCCTTTGTTTATAACCAAGCGCTTGGTTTGATTAACATACCATGAATCTATGACACGTCGGCCTTTCTCAAAGCAAATTACAGTTAAAGCATCTCATATATCTTGAACTCTGGGTGGCGCGGTCGTTGCGTTGAGAGAAGCCAGGGAGTACTGTCAGGCAGTTCTGGAGCACAATCTCACAGATGGTCATCACGACGATCGAGCAGACCGAGACCCGTGGATAGGCCACATCGCACCGCGTCGCACAACTGGGAGGGTCGAAGACGATCTTTTTTCAGTTGATCAGTGAGCAGTGAAAGTCTCCTTGGCTCGAAAGCAGACGAACTTGAGCTGAAAAGAGATGGCAAGGCAGTTCACAGATGAAATCAGTGACCATGTGTCAGGTGACCCTGTTTTTTCCCCAAACAGCTTTTTCCTGAGACCTCAGTCAGGTGGTCCTGACCGACGCGCCTCAGGCCTCTGGGTGCTCCCACTGCATGCGAAAACGTGGAACAAAATCCGTTGCATTTGAGTGCCATACCTTGAAGAACCTATAGCGCTTACAGCAACAAACTAAAGCAACATGTCATCTCACGGCTTGGTATTAGGCAGTGGCACCAGGTTCCCAAAGAAGTCCTTTTACGACGTATTCATTCTTTGAGATAGGTCAAAGGCCTGGAACAACTTGATTGAGCGGTCTTCACTATTGAGACCTCTCGGGAATATTGATTTGCCATATCAATCAAGCTCCAAGACTACTGGTGCTGTTCGTCATGGAGTCCATTGGAGCTCCGATTTGCACGGATACACTTAGACTCTCTTTGAGACTGGGATCGAGGTTTGCCTACTGGGCAGATTGGTTTTGAACAAGTATCAGGCATCATCATGTTGTTTGATCTACCTCCAATGTTGAATATCAATGATCAAACGATTGCTGTCATTGTCAATGGAGAAGAACATCAAGTCATGTCCGATTGACGGGTGGATAGCATCGGGGAGACACCCTTCCTTCAGAGTCCAGAGGGTACGAAAATAACATGAGAAACCAGAAACACCCGTCGTGGGATTTGTTCCGGTTTCTGGGACCTTCTTGGGAACTTTCCTGGTCTTGGAAACCAGGAGCACCAGAACTGCTCCCCATTCAGATCGGATCGCTTCAGATGCCGGTCCGACCCGCTCCAAGCGATGTTTGCCAGATGGCCCAGCACCGGAAGTCTCGGACAAGCCGCTCGAGGGGCGGAACACCGACCCGGAGCGGCCGTTCGACGCTTGGGTCGCACGGACGCGGCCACGGATGGGCGAGGTTGGTGGGTTGACACCGGTCACGATGCGTAGGTCGGGTGGAAGATGTTCGGTGATGTTTCGGGATCAGGATTCAGGTATTGATTCAGAGAATACTTCATAAGGTCACGCTCGGCAAATTTGTGGCACACCTCCAACGAAATCAAGCAATCGCTGCGGTGGCAGTGGCTTGTTTAGAGGTTTTGCCTTGCATGTGACCGGGCGGTTTTGCCTTTTGCCCCGGCTGGACACTTGGATTCTCCGGCCCATCGGCCAAGCGTGGCAACCCCGCACCCCCAAGATCCGGACCAAGATGGACCGAACAAGGACGGATTAGTGGTGACATGTTTGGACATCAGGTGGAGAAGGATCTTGGGTTCATTGTCAGATTCTTGAATCATTCATGTGGATCATTGAGAGATCGCTATGGAAATATCCACTGTACAATTGGGGGACCCTGGGTGCCCAAAATCAGGGGCATATTGTAGAGAAAACACATTTTGTGTATTGTGTTTGCTCTAAAATCGGGCACCCCAACAAACATTAAAATCATTAAACATTGAGCCTTTTCTGGCGTCAGTCCTGATTTCATAGAGAGTGTGGGCGAGTAAAGTCGATGAAGTACGAGGAGGGTGGGTGCCCTAATTTTAGAGAGGAAAGACTCAATGTTATAGAGAAGTCATTCTGAAGCTGAATTCCTCATTTTATAGAGAAGAGATGACTATAGATTTAAAAAACATAGAGAAACAAAAAAACACCAGGAATCAACAAGAAACATGTTGTACATTGTCATGTGGTATGTTTTCTGTATAAGGCAGTGGGTAAGGCCTATTTAACTCTCGACAACTCTCGCATGTCGTTCCTGATTTCATAGTCATAGAGAACATATGTTGGAAATCTCCTATTTAAGCTCGAGGGTGGGTGCCCACATTTTATAGGCTGCCCATTGTGGGGTTCAGGCTGATTCGATCGTTATATAGAGACTTTTGGCGTACCCTGAAGTCAGTTCCCTGTAAAATTGCGAGCCCCAGACTGAGCCCCAGCTTCCTTTGGAATTCACCAGGGATATTGAGAGCTTATTCCCATGAAGCCAAATGGATTCTGCGCTCAGATGCGCTTCAACGATGCTCCCCGAGCGGAAGATGTACGTCCGCTGTCGGTTTTGAGGGAGGCGCTGGTGCGCAAGAGGAGAAACGCATGCTTGAGTAGGGCAAGCCCTGAGAAAGGGACCCAGGGACCCCCAACAGAAAGCTACACAAAGTAACTCAGCTGTTCTGAAATGCCTGAGCTATGTTTGCCCCTTTTCCTGCAGAGTGGTGTCGGGGTCACATTAGGTCAGAGTTGAAAGCCGGGGGTTCCGCAGGTACACGACACAGACAAACACATTTGCACAAACTGGAGAAGAAACTCCTGCATGAGAAACACTGCATATTGCATTGCATAGTTTCTGAGTTCCAGTGCAGGAGATGTCAGTGATCAATTTACGTATGTATTGTTTCATCGGGTTTCATTTGCGTTCGTGATCCAATCCTGAGAGGAAAAGACAGAGAGAGGTAATATAATACATTGACATTTATGTCGAGCCTCTATCTCTCTCTCTATATATATATATTCAGAATGGGCCCCGTGAGGCCTTTCAGAAAGCTCGGCAACGCTGGACCCAGAAGCGTGATTGGAGCTATGTGGGCGAGATGTAGCTGGGCGCCAGTGTGTCCACACTGTGTGGCATGGAGTCATGGAGGACTTCGGTCAGATTGGTCACACATGGTGCCATGAGGTGCAGTTCTCCCTGCGACAGAAAGCCCTGTTAAGATCGGGTTTTCCACATGCGGAGCGAACTTGGAGAAACCGCCGAAGCTTCCCAAGGGTCCACGTGATCCTCAGACGGAGTGCCTGCTGAGGCTGCGTAGTATCCGCCAAGACCTCACCATTCAGATGGTCAAAGATGCCTTCGTCGTGGAGGTGGGTGGAGACGTTGAGTTTGTTCGGTCGAGTTTGTTGCTGTCATGTGTGCTTCTCCGTTTAGGGAAACAGTTGAACCGTGACCGACACGCAGACCGTCGCATGTTCATTCAGAAGGTTGCTTCTGTCAACTAGCCTTTTTGGGGAAGGGCATGCAGTGCAGGGATTGGTTTCAAGGGATGACCACCCCCGCGCAAAGCTAAAGGCAATGTCGAGAGGCTTCATGTGACGTGCCTTCCAGAAGCCCAGCCAGTGATTTGCAGAATATGTGGAACAGTTTTTCAAGACCTGTGCGCCAGGTCCATGAATACTGGGCCCAAGCGACTGAATGGCATTGAGCGCTGGTCCTTTCCAACAAAAGCGTTCTACGCCATGTTCATGTACGGTATATATGGGAGAGGTGTGTTGAGTATTTAGTACGTATTGTTGAGTATATAGTTGTTTTGGGACTTAATCATGTTTGGATCAATGATTGCAGCTTGGATAATTCAATTTGGGTTGAAGATGGAAGGCCTTGAAATGGACAATGCGAAGCATCTCCTTTGCAACAATTGTAGTCATTGTAAACAATGAAGGCCCAACTAATTGTCTCGACATGTTTATATATATATAACTCTCTATATATATATATATAGTTATATAATCGTATGTAGTTTAAGGTCTCCTCTTTTGTGCGCACAAAATGTGTCACGTGTCTCCATGAGTCGCATGAGTCTTGGTTCCTACATGTCTGAACTCCCAGGTTGCTTTGGAGTTCGGCGATTTCAAGCAGTTTGATCAAGCAGCTGTGCAGTTGGAGGCGCGGGAATCGTTCCCCTCCGGCCTCAGGATCCTCAAGGCTTTGGATCGGTTGTTTTGTTTGATGTGATGGCGCGTTCGCCTCCCGCCACATGTCTAATCACTGTCTAAGCATGATTTGTTTATCACACAAATGGAAACCTGGAAGCGTTTTGAGGCGTACTATGCCGACCCAGCATTGGAGAGCGGCGCAGCCAAGTTGAAGGAGACCCGTCTCTTGAGTCCCCACCGGTGCACCGCCACGTGTCGCTGGAACCATGCTGCGCCATGGGGTTCCTGCGGTGAACTTGGAGGGCAGAGGTTTTTGTTGACATGTTTTTTTTTGGTAATATGCTGTTTGCATGGTGTTTGCTTGTGTTCTGAAGCGCACGCAAACATGTCGGTCATTGTTCGATCACGACTGACTAAGAACTTTCAATAACACCAAGAACCTCAGAGCTTCCAGAGACCCCACTTTCACTGATCATGTTCTTCCTGTGCACTTGGTGCTTTTGTGCACCAATCAGGAAGTCCTTGCATGGCGTTTGCTCTATTTGACTGTTGAGGCTGGATTCGAAGTGAGGCATTCAGCATTGGATGTCATCAGTGACACTGTGGAAGATGTTGAAAGGCGTTGTTGGTGCAAGATTGGTGCGCACACCCAGAAAGGAATGACTGCGTTGTTGAGCATGTTTGCTCTAAGATTGTAATTTTGAGACTGTTTTCCCATTGAACCCCAGCAAGTGCTTCATTTGCCTGAGGGAGATCCAAGTTCCAAAACACCCATCTCAGAATCCTCACTTGCATCGTTTTCCTGTCTCCTCCACTCTTTGACCAACGCGCAGGGCGAAGGTCTGGCCACTTTGGAGTTCTTGCAACGCCACCAGCGGCACTTGAAGGAAGGTGCAGTGGTGAAGTTCGCATGGAGGCCGGTTGATGGGGTGCCGCACACTCAGTCAATACCATCCCTTTCCATCCCCTCCCTCCGAAACAATATTTTTTGGAACCGTGTACGGAGCTCCGAGCGCTGCGACATTTGCAAAAACCATTCGATTCCGGGCGAAACAGTTTCTTGCCAACGGGCATCTTGCCGCCTTCGGTGGCTGCCTTCTGGCGAGTCGTGATCATGCAGGGCCCTCGAGCAGGGATTCATCACCTCCCTGGCACCAAGACTCCTCCACAAATACAAGGGCCACCACACTCACTCAAAAAGTCCAGTCACTCCGATACCCATCCCCTTTCAGCAGCCAAAGCTGAGAAGATCTTCTTGAAGATCGTTTGGAAGCCTTGCCAAGCCCACGAAGTCGCTGTTGCACCTCAGCACAAGTGAGCCACACTGCCAGACATTCAGCCAGTGCTTTGTTGAAGGCATCCGGAGATTCTTTCAAGACGGCTGTGGCAAATGCCTTCGTTGAGCCATCCTTGCCCATTCGGCAGTGGAGGTGGCATTGGGGAACACTATAGGTATTTGGCAAAGTGCACGTCCGGTTCCGTCATGGAGCCAGGCTTAGGGCTGCGGCCTCATAGAGGGCCTGGCAAATCAACACACTGCGGTTTCCGGGAAAACGCTCTAGGACAGGATCCTAACAAAAAGCATGGCATGTAGCTGGCACCTTCTTTGGGATGCTCTGATGCCCAGAGCTTTCCCTGGAATGACAGTAGAAACATAAAAGAACATTGCCAGCATGAATCTGTCGACACTCCCTGGCAGTCACATACGTATGCATATGGCTTTTCATGGCTTTTCGCCGCTTCTAAGCATGCGAGGGCCCCCACCACATGAAGTGGCCGCGTCACTCCCTCCGTCTCCAGCAACTCCGCCTGCTTCCCGGGAAATGGACAATGTTTCAAAAGATGGGCCCAGCATAGGCACTGAGCACATAGCCCTCATGTGTGTAGCGGAGCCAAAGAGAACGTGTTTCAGCTCGAAAAGGTTTGCCCGTTCAGCGTAGATGACATCTACGCCAAGCACCACCGAGCAAGCTGCAGGGACTGCAGCGCGGAGGCGTTCCTCACGGTTGCCGCGGCGTTGCCCGGCAACCACGGTATTGAGGAGCATCAAGGAGCCAATGTGGCTTAAGACGGATTTCAAGCAGCAACGTAGCCTGCCTCACCAACTGCTGCCAGGGAGCCTTGTCATCCCAGATCTCAAGAAAGCACTCAAGACCCTGAACATCCCTGAGCCCAAGTGTCAACCACGCGACGCATCACTACAAAGGACGCCAGACTCTGTCGAAAAACCTCTCGCCAAGCCGCGACAAGCTCCTCAAGGTCACAACCAACACGAGACTCTGCCGCTGTGAGCAAGCCATCAAGGAGCTCATCAATGTACCACTCAACCAGGTCAACATCCGGTAAGTCAGTCACGCAGCGGGGCTGGCGGCTACCGGACATTGGGAAACCAGTTGAAGGTTGAAAGATGCTGAAAGTAGTTGAGTAGTTGAGGTGGGCCAGAAGACCACGTTGCGTATGATTCTTCTAAAGTTTGGTGTGCCGCTTCACAAAGGAAACTACGTCCTCCACACAGCTCCAAAAGCAGAAGAAGCATAACCACGGACATGTTCTCTCAACCAACTAATGGCTTCCAAACAGTGTCGCCTCCAGTGGTCGCCATGGTGCGTCCAGTACCAAAGCTCTGGTGGTCCATGAAGCACAACACCTCGAAAGAGTCAAGGAAACAAAAACAACTTAGATAATATGTGTCACCTGTTTCGCCGACACGAGTCCGTGGGTTGATGTGTGACCGTGTGGCCTTGGCATCGCGCCTCTTCGGAGGCTCCGGCGAGCGATGAGCCAGCGCTGCTATCCCCAAGCCGTGAAGCTCTTGGCGCCGATGGTGTCGCCCGGCGCCCGGCAACGTGCGCGCAGTTGGTCGTGGGGCGAGAGAGTGAGATGACTCAACGACGGTGAGGTCGTCAACCCATGGTCAACCCCCCAAAAAATACAGGTTTGTACATTCATGACAAACACCTGAGGGTCCCCGGGTCCTGTTTTTGCAGCCATGAAGTTGCAATGTCAGAGGCATGTGTGTGTGAATTAATTGTTTATTGACTGCTGTTTGGAGGAGCTTAGCGGCTTAGCTTATTGGCATCCAAGAAAGAAGGTAGTGATCGAGCCACATCAGCTGGGCATAGATTCTGTTTGAGCAACTTTGCAGTTGTCAGCTGAGGACGGAAACTGATTTGCCAGTGTTGCCAGAGAGCGCCTTGACATTCAAAATCATGGTGGTGGGGGGGGGGAGTTATCCTGGCATTGAGGATGTTACCTCCCTAAAGCATGAAGTAGTGACATGGAGGAGATCTAGAATTAGAACAACAGATCAGATGCCTATATAATTAATCCCATAAGTAAGATGTCTATAGTCCCTAGATCAAGCCGCTCCCTTGCCCCAGCAACCCTGACATCCTTACAGCCAGTGAGGGTCAGTATCAAGCAAGTTCATTGCGACATTGGACTGCCTGCAGGGCTCGTAGCATCAACGGGTCCAATGGCCCTGAATGCTGGACAGGCACTTTAAACTTTCGACAGGCAGCCCTTGGGCCAAGTGTGTTCCAAGAAAGGTCCGCGTGCGGTGTGGTGCAAGTGTGTTGGACGTGTTATCATTTCATGCACCAATGCTCTTCATCCTGCAGCTTTCGGGTCATCAACTGCGAAAGGTTTCCACGAAACTCATCCTCGGCCTGTACCCCACCGTAGTGCGGCACAAACCTCCAAGGTTTGCGCGCGGAGCTTCTCCGAAGAGTCACTTGGCCAGCGCTGGTTGGGGACAACTCCCAACACTGGCGCCAGCGGATCACAAAACTGGCACACGAGCCAGTTTTCGATGTTTTTTGGTGTTTTTTGGGGGGTCCTTTCTCAGGTGTAGGCTGGCTTTACCTCCATGTTTATCAAGGGAAAGAGCGTCCCATGCCTTTCGAGGCGCGGCTATTGCAGCTTATGACCGTTTGCAAGGCAGGAACTGGCAGATCAGGCAATATTCAGGAAAGGATCTCCATAAGATGGTCGGATGTCAAATTCACGCATACTGAAACATGGAGAAAGGGTTCCCACATGTTCTAAAGTATAATATGTCGCCTCACCAAATACATGAACGCACCATACTGGTGTTTTGATCGCCAGGGCCACATATGTGTGCGTATGTTTGCAAGTTTTTGCCTATCAACCTATCATTGACATCCCTAGTCGCGGATTTGCAAAAGTCCCCTATAGTCTTCGGATCCTTTTCCCAAGTTCTCTTGGCCAACGATCAGGCCCTCAGTCGGGAAAAGGCGCTCACGCGGAAGCGCTTGGAGTCTTTGGGTTTGCAGTCGGAGGCGCGGGATGGCGTGGGGGGCTTCTTCGGGGGCAACACGAAGAAGTGCGAACTCTGAGTGAGACCCACAGAGAGACCGAATAGGCTCACCGATTTCGCTCACTGGGTCGGTGGGGGACCTCCGCAGAACGATCGCCGGGCGTTTTTGTTGACTCGTGCGACCGAAGCAATCGATCCTCATCCGTGCGAGGATGGGACCAAAAGTCTGCCGATCATCTTCAGAAAGGCTTCTTGGAAGAAGTTGGGTCCTTCGGTGTTCACCATAGTGGGTGCCGCGATGATAGATCTATAGTGACTGGGTATGTCTCAACAACCTCAAAGCTTGGGAGCTAAGCCTTGAAGATGTGCAGATTCATGTAGCATGAATGATTTGTGTCGCACCTCCGTGTTTTCAAAGCCACGCTTTCAGGAGAGGTGGAGGTGCATGTACGATTGGTGGTGCTACCATGTGCTACCAGCGGAAGTGCAGTAAGGCTTACTAAGGGTTGGACGCCAATCTTGGATTTGCTAAAAGTTTAAGTTAATTAATTTGTGTTGATGAAGTAAGCAATTGGTTCTTTTGTGGCCTCCTCACACATCCGAGGAAGATCAAGAGCTGGTGGATCCTCAAGCCACACACGATGAGGCGGAGCCGTCCAATGCAGATTTGTTTTGTTGCCGAGCTGCCAAGCGAAGACGCTGTTGCAAGTGTGGAAGCTACAGAATGGGTGTCTGCAAAGGAGACTTTCAGCACCTGCATTCTACAGAACAAAAATGAACAACATATTCCAAAGACATGTCAAAATCATATAGGCAGCATTAGGACAACACAAAAAAGGAAGCATTAACGTGTCAACATGTGTCACCCCCTTTGGTTCATTCAATGTCTTTGGTCCGGCGCGGCCACACGAGGCGAAGAAGGAATTGGAACCCGCCGAAGTCCGAGACACCACGATGCCAGGATCGACGTGGAACGTTCGAACCGTCGCAGTGAAGGGAACCATCGCAGCATGGGCAGGGCCCCAAGAAACACTTAGAGATCACATGCAAAGCCAAACTCTGTGGGGTTCGGACGCAAACTGGGGATGGTTAGGGTTCTTGGCACCCACTTCTTCAGAAGATGCCACTCGTATCAGCCAAAGATTCAACTGTTCTCCATCTATCCTCGTGTCGGTGTGTGGGACAACGCTCACATCATCTCCAGTTCTTTACCGCGACCCAACTGAACTGTTGCGGCTGTTGAGCAGCTGCGACTGCTGCCATGATGGGCAGCAGAAAGAGAGCCCAGTCAGCCATCAACCTTCTTGTGCAGGACAGGTGCGCATCCGTCGGCGCTTGGGTCGACAACATGAGGACCACTTGAATGGCTTCATGCGGGTCGGGAACCTGAGGATCACAGACCTTTTTCAGCTTGAGGCATGTCGAAATCTATATATATATACAGTTTACTACAGTTTTATACAATAATTGAAAATTCACAAGGTCCAACAAACACGATCAATTATTTCAGCTATTTGCTTCCAGGGGTTTTGCTATACCTGGCCCCTCAGGCAGTTCCAGGAACACCACGAGAGAATGGGCCGTTCAAGGCGTGGGCGGTGGGCAACTGACAAGAAAAGCATATTATGGAAGGACAGACGGCACTGTGAGAGAGTTGCTTCAAGAAATGTCATCCTTACAGTAGTTTCCTGACTTGTGAAAGATTATAAGTTACTGTACAAGCAAACAACTTAGTTGCTATATTGGAATCTCCATTTTGTTACTTTGTTGGCTCTTCTGTTTTCTTGGGAGACCAGGCCCGTAGCCCATTGCACCTTTTGTTCGTTGCTTTGCTTAGCAGCTGATATGCTGGCCGGTCGCCACTGCCATCCTTGGTCTCCACTCTAATTGCAATGGCCTCCACCCTAATAGCGATGGCCTAGTTGATGGCCTCCAACCTACTAGCGATGGCCTCCTACCTACTAGCTAGCGATGGCCTCCACCCTGCTAGGGATGGCCTCCACCCTAATACAGAAGATGGGCCTGAAAAACCTGAACCTCGAACAACTGAAAGTTCGGAGACAGGACTCGGACAGGGCCTCATTAGCCAATATCAGCACGGAATGCAATGGAATCCAGAGACATGAGTCATTAGAAACCGTTTGAGATCGTTTTAGGAAGGCGCAGGATTCTTCCCATCGACACTTGGCTTTAGCACAACCATAGCGCGTGCTACTGCTTTATAGAGGCATCAAATGCATGACCTGAACTCAGAAGGGAGGTATTGAATGCATGACGTTGAAACCTAACCTATGGGCCCAATGTCACCCAAGCCTGCTTACTGCCACATACTGACACCCCATGAGTCAATAGGCACCCGGTCGACCGAGGCTGAGCGGCGCCCTCGCATGGTCGACTGATGGTGGCTGAGGGCCCGTTTTCGTCGTCCCGAGAGAACGGGCCCAGGCAGTCGGGACACCGCAGTGAGGCTGCATCCATGTGAAGGGTCATTCTGAATGCTTGCGCTGTGCGCACATGCATGCGCACATGCATATTCATGCATTCTTTCTTGCAGATCATCGATTCATGGAGTACAAAGGAATTATGAGATGAATTATTAATTATGTACAACGAACAAGCCGAACTGATACAGATTCCATTTCTGTTCCTCTTGGCTGATGTCCCCTAGCTGCCATTGGGTGGAAACCTGCTATCCGTGCGGAACTTTGTCAGTTAAAGTTAAATCAGGATCCGAAAGTCACCATTCGAGAAACCAGCCCACAAAAGGAGTTGAAAGACTTTGATGGTGCAATCGTTTGTCCCATTCTCTACACGATGCCTGGGCTCTTAAAGGCATCAGCTGGGCAACCTACATGTTGAAGAAGACTAATTAACTGTTGTAGGCTTTGCAGTTGTGTTTGCCAATTCGGCCAAGGCTTCGCAGATGTTGTGCCGTGGGAAAGCAGGTCCGTGTGTCCCTTGATCCGAAAGGGGCCATTTGTGGTCTATCGGCGACAATGTGAGTCCCTTGACCGTGTGCGAGGGGCCAGTCCAGGGACGTTCGGTCCCGCCTGTGGAACGCTAGCAATATTTTGCTCCGTGGATTTTCACGAAGACGCGTGCAAGAGCTGACGGTTGTTCTGTGAGTCATGAGAGCCAAGCGCTTTAGTTCAATTGTTGACCCGCAGGATGGAGGTTCAAAGGATTTCAAAGGCAAGAGATGACTGCAGAGACCGTCCCGAGAGTGGGCTAACTTCCCCTCCGGTGCCCGATGCTCCGGTATGGCCCGACTTAAAAAGGACCGAAAAGGGCGGCAGGGCGCCGCAGTCTCAGGGTGCACAGGCACATATATAGGCACTATATATATATATATATAGGCACCATGCCATTGTCAGGGGAACATCAGGGAACCTACTTGTTTCTCACTCGGGTTTACTCATAGTCTGATCTCATAGATGCTCAGCCGTCACAAGCGATTTCTCCTCAGGCTGAAGAGACGACCAATGCCGGAGCCTGAAAGAAGCGCTGAAGACCTGTGAGGAAATGGCAGAGATGCCCCTGACATTTATGACTCGATGGATCTTGATGGTGTTTGATGTTGTTTGATGTTGTTTTTCAGTTGCAGAGAGATTGGCTTGAGGAGTTCGACTGAGGTTCCTTCACACGGCCCCTGGGGACAACAAGGTAAAATACAAGGTAAATTAACAAATGTGTATATTATGCGGATGCGGTGGCTTGTTTCACCCACCCAAAGTGGCAGGTTTTTCCGTAGGATGTTGAGACATATGATGGGATGTCCCCATCGGCAGTGCTTTTGGGATATGATGGGATATGTAATCGCTGACAATATTTTGTATTTTAATATGTTATTGATGATTTTACTTAATGGTCAGTGAAACTCCTTGGGTGACCAAGGCTCAAACATCCTTTGCAGAGCTTTGGGTCGGGATCCTTGGTCCTGGGTGGACTGTTCGCTGCGGAAGTGGCGACACAGTACGTACTGGTAATGAGAGGGGTCCAACCCTTTCTGATGCCCCTTCAAAACGTTTGGGTTGGGCAGTTGAGGGCACAAATACTGAAGCAAAATGGCACAATTCCGCAATACCCCCCTGCATCCCCCTTCTAAGGGTCCTTGTGCCTGTGGATGGTCCTGTACTGGAATCCATTTTGCACACAAACATGTGGAAGATTATGGAAGATCCTTCGTCATGTGCGTGGCTTGACGAGGTTTTTTTCGCATTTGTTCACAGCTTGTGAAGAAAACAAACGTGGTTCTTGGTCGTTTTGCTCCATTCTGCGTCCCCCAGTTTACCCGAAAGTTATGCATCGCCATGCGTCGCCATGCGTTGTCATTGACACTCAAATCTCATTTGCCATCAGGGTTTGTGGCATAAACCCGCGGAGGATGATGTCACATTGTCAAATGATGCAGCTCCAGAACAAATCGGGATCAGCAATTTGCTGTTGCTTTTTGAGCCTCCCATACAGGCGCTAGATTCTAGATCCGACTTCTTGTATGCGCTTACTGTATTTCACAGTGTTTGGGACCTGCCAGGCAACTCAATGTGTGTCACTTGCATGTGTTCGGTTGTTCCCACCAAGGCTCAAATCTTCACACAACTGCGCGTCTTGGCCTCGGACCCCAGGCGGCCGCTGGTTGAACTCGGAACTGGGGTTGTTGGTAATGTGTTTGGATGGTTTTGGAGTCGCCCAGGTTACTCTTCTGATGATAATATTGGATCCCTAGATCTAAAAGACCCCCTGAACATTGTGGCGTAT